CAGTCAGCAGCTGTCAGCCACAGTCATCTACGTTCCGTGGGTTCGGACAAGCAGAGAGGCGGCGTAGAAGTGAGAAAGGAAACGTAGCGTCTTACTGACAACTCTCTTCGTGTCAGAATCCATTTCCTGAAACACAGATCAAACTGTTCAGACGTCTGACTCTGACTCACTGACACAGGATGATTCTGGATCATCTTTACCTGAAACAGGTCGTATTTGCTGCCAATGATGAGCAGAGGAACAGGAAACGGATGGATCAGTTCTCTGTCCTGTGGAACACAGAGAACACAGTCAGAACGAGTGATGCAATGAAATGAAAAATCGAACACCGGGAGAAATGATTACGCCAATTATTACTACCTTTACATTTACAGCTATGGAACTGTGATCTCACCGGATGATCTTTAGGCAGAACCCGAGCTGCTGGACTCACAGCCGTCTCGTTCTTGGTCTTTTGTTTCTGGTGAACCTGTGCGAACACCTTTTCCAGCTGAGCTCGTGCGGTCTGCAGCAGCTTCTCCACCGTGGTCCACAGGGAGTTGGGTTTAGACAAGTCCACCACCAGGATCACAGAGAACGACCTGGAAGAAGGAAAAATCAGACCTGGTGGAGTGACCACTGTGACGTGACCAGACAGAGGACAGAGGACAAGTCCTGGTCTGAGGGTCTGACCTGATGCTGACAGCACTGATTGGGATCTGGACCAGGTCTGACAGAGAGGTTCCTCCTCCCAGTTCCCACAGATGAACTATGTCTTTGGGCTAAAAGGAAAAGAAAGTAAAAACCACCTGAACAACTTTGGAAACTTCAGTCAGTGTTGGTACAGACCATAATGTCTCTCAGAGGATTACTGCAGTACTGAACTATAAAGTCCTCACCGAGCTGTGTCCTCGAGCGCGTCGACCAAAAGTGTATTCCAGGGCCAGAGTAGGTTTTGGAGGTTCGTCCCTGGTTATAATTATGTACAAGAAAAAAATGTAGTGATTTGTGACAAATACAGCTGAACGGCGGTATGTAGTACTCTACTTGTATATTACATATTAAGAAGGAGTATCAATGTTGCAGCTACTGTTATTTATACTGCCATATCAAACACACACCTACCTGTCCAGACATCTGAGTAGAAGAGTCGTTTTACCCTGTGAGGAGAAATCAAAGTCCGTGAGAGACTCGTTTATAACAAAGAAACTGAATCAGCTGTAATGAATGTCAACGAACCCCAGCCTTGCTGCCCATCAGGAACACGCTCCTCTCCGTTTCTCCTCCTCCATCATATCCTCCTTCTCTCTCTCGGTCTCGAAGTTCTCCCGCCGCCAGCTCCCACAGACAGTCCGTGCTGAAAACAGTCAAAACCATTTACGTCATCGTTTTTCATCATTTCTGCTACACATTTAAATCAGGGATAAAAAGACTGAAGCACTCACTTTGTTTTCGCCATTACCCTTTTACACGGAGCCACAGTGTTGACAAACAGGGGCAGCTCCCAGTACGCCGATAATCCGTTGTCACAGTAACGGCGCGGTTTGATGACGTAGTCGGTCGCGCTGTTGCAGAGATCTGGAAAAATTGACATTTTAAGATTTTTCTCTCTCGTGTGAAGCTGTGTTTTACCAAAATAAGTAAACGCTGACATAAATACAATATTTAAATATTTTTCCACTGTTTTATTTTTACGGTAAAAGTCGATATCAAGAAAATCAGCGTATGTAATAACGGCTGATATTTCCAACTTCTCGTTCCGAGCCACGGATGAACTGTTGAAAAAGTACAGTATATATGAACAGGTCTTCATATGTGGAATGGATTATAAAAATCGTGACTTTGTTAATCTGAAAAAGTATTTAAAAAGGACAATATCCTAATACTTTTATTTAATACTGATTACATGAAACTGGACTCATTTTTACAGGTTGAGTTAAAAGTTAAAATCTGAATTATCTTCTAAACGTATACATGTACATATAAATCGAAAGGAAATTTTAGCTCTCTTTATATTGTTTATTATTTAAAAGATATATATATATGATTACGAAGACGCACAGAAGTTACATTACTATTTAAAAACAATTCTTTTTATATTGTAATGTATATTTTCTTTTTTAGTTAGACAATAACATTTACTCCAACCAGACCTTGTTTTATTTAATTGTGACAAAGGATTGTTTTCCAAGGGTTTGATGATGTTGTAGCAACAGTGTAAAGGATTATAACAATCTGCACCAACTCAATGTGACCTTGTAGTGGGTATCACCTTTATGTGAAACCAAATGTAAATAATAAAAACAAAATTACATCCCCCAACTACAGTGTAGATCCACTCCACAGCTCTTCAGTGAATGTTGGGCTAAAGCAGAAAGATGAAAGCTTTCATTCTTTCTGTAAACTGTAAATGAATATCATTTGATGGCAATGGACCTCCTTGTTGATCATTCAAATGTCAATCATGTTCCATCAGGACCTTTTCCTGGGCTGATCACAATAAGGAACATTTTCTAGTAGATGGCTCTCTCTGGGTCGCAGCACTGTCACACACAGAAGAAGAAAACACATAAGCTGCACTGTACTGGATAAAGAAAACAACAGAATGTGATGAGGTTGATATCGTACCAAGTCTGTCTTCTCCAATGTGTTCCATTTGCATCACAGTCTCTCTGAGAACAATGTCAACATCCGAGCCCATTTTAATCATCTATAAAGAACACAGATTTGGAAAACGTTAGATCATGTTTAAGCCATTGTCATTTCTGCATGTGAGCGACGGAAGGAACAACACCGCCACCTTCTGGATGTTTTCGTCTGACGTTTCATGTTTGTTTTTCTTGAATTCTTCATTAATCTTTAATCTTGCAGCTACAACAAAAACAACAGGTTATGGATTCGGCACTACAGACCATCAGCCAGTGTGCTCTTGGGCCATCGTGTACGTGACCCACCTGTCAGTGCTCTGTTGTCATCTTTAAACACAGTCATCCTGGTCCTGTGCAGGGCTTTAAACACGCTCAGAACCTACAGTAAGACACACACGGATAAAGTCATTTAATTTAAACTAAAACAGCCAATAATCTTCTTCAACGTCTTTGACCAAATCGACAGATTTAATTAGTACTCTGTCATAAGGGATGGTCTGCTCTGGTTTTCCCATCTTACTTCTATGAAGCACTTATATGAATTATTAAAATTTTCAGTGACGACAAATGTGTCACTATGGTTATAAAAAAGCAGTCTATAAAGTAAAAAAAAACTGCGAATGAAAAAGATAATTTCAAGTGTATTTTTTCTTTCCTAAAGTCGAGTCCTCACCTTCAGACGAGTCCCCATGTTTATTCCTCGTTCACTTCCGGGTACGAGCGGAAGTTACATATGTATTGACCAATTACAGTATTGCAGCATGACGTTACTCTGCAGTTTTAACTCACACCCTGTAGGGACTTCCTCCACTTCCTCCAACATGGCGGATGAAATGGCCAAAGCCCAGGCAGCGCAGCCGGGCGGCGACACCATATTCGGGAGGATTATACGCAAAGAAATTCCCGCCGACTTGATTCACGAGGATGACAAGGTCCGTGTTCACATTTTTTAATAAAAAAAAAAAAAAATTTTAGTAGCCGGGAGTTTCGCATGGCCGCACACAAACACTGCTGGTGTTACCTCAATGTTTAATGCGTCATGGCTGTTTAATGTTAGATATAAAGGTCAGGATTGACCTGTGTTATTTTATGTTATTGTTGCATGTGTTCCTGTCATGTATCGTCTCTCTCTACAATACACCCCAGTGGACAACAGTGCTCCTGCAGTTTCTCCAAATGAAAGTTTTATCTTAGTGTTTCCATTTTAAGAAGATTCACATCGGGTATTATTGCTATTTTTATTTACATGGTTGATGTAAGAAGGAGGTCCAAGCATGATAACTAACAATGATATAAGTATTTTATCATATATAATTATAACTGACAAGTATTTTTATTATAACTAGTTAAAACTCCCATTTTGTATAATGTAAAGCATTAAAGCGGGTTTAAATGTTGTGTCATTATGGACCAAATTCACGTTGTGTCAAAGTGGTTACATTTGATTCTCATCAACATTTATCTGCATGTGTTTCTCTGCGTTTCAGTGCGTTGCCTTCAATGACATCTCTCCTCAAGCTCCCACTCACATCCTCGTTGTCCCCAAAAAGCCAATCATTCAGCTGTCGCAAGCAGACGACAGTGATGCCGACGTGAGTTTGAATGCATGGCATTCACTGCTTTTGACAATGGAGTTATAGAAATGGTTGAAATTCGCCTTTTTTTAAAAAACTTAGCTCCAAATAAGATATTTAGCCAAAAAACTAGCTAGTTAGCAGCGAAATGAGCAGAAAAAGGCGAATGATGTATGAATGAACAATTGCTAATTTTAGCAACCAGATAGCTGAATCATCGTTGGTTTAACCCAGTGTAACACTGCTGTAATGTTTGAATGATAACAAGCCTCCAGTCGCTAGGTGGCAGCAACTCATGCAGTGGGTTTGTACAAATAGAAATATATGTTATCAGGTTCTCAATAATATTTCAGTTTACCTGGGTGTGGGTCGGAGGGGGGCGTGAAAACATTTCTGTCCCCTACGGGCAGCATGACAGATAATCGAGAACCACTGGTTTACTCTGACGACTTCTTTTCTCTTCTTTAAAAGTTATCCCTTTACTGTCTTGTCTAAACTCTGTCCTAGGTGTTGGGCCACTTGTTGATTGTTGCCAAAAAGGTAGCCACTCAGGCTGGACTGTCCAAAGGCTACAGGATTGTCATCAACGATGGAGCCGATGGAGGACAGTCTGTCTACCACCTCCATGTTCATGTCCTGGGTGGACGCACCATGAGATGGCCCCCTGGCTGATGTCCGTCACCTGACACTGACAGTCCTGTGGTCATCTGTTATCATCTGTCAGACTGAGACTTGAACAAGTCGAAGTCAGGAAACTGGTCAATAAAATGCACTCAACCACAAACGTGAATCATGTTGTTCTTGAACATGAACGACCTGCAAAGACTGAACTGGAACACCTGGTACAGTATGTGTACACCCACACCCACAGTTGTAATCACCCTCTGTTGTTAGTTGGGGAAGGAGGAGGGAAGGAGGTTACATAATAACATAATAATTATAGGGGGGGGGGGGGTTAAGTCCAGAGATCTGGCAGTGAAATTAATCATTTTTTCTGTTTTATTAACAAAAACAAGGCAGAAAAGTTGAATTATAAAACACATGAACCATTCACAAAAATATCAAAACAAAAAATAAAATAAATAAAATGTTTTTTTTTTCTTTACAAAAATCAGACTACACGTAGAATTGACATTAAAAACATGTACCTAACATTCACAGTCCCATGATGCAATCCTTCATTTGTTTGGCCAAAGATGGGGAGAAAAGGAAAAGAAGAAACAAGGAAATACCCCAGTGGTCGAGGGTGAAATGGGGAGAAAAGGAAAAGAAGAAACGAGGAAATACCCCAGTGGTCGAGGGTGAATCTGCCTCATCACTAAAACATCTTTGACCTTCTCACCTTTGACCTGTCAGCGTCAACAGTGTCAGTACAGACAGAACTGGTGTTCTGGTGCAGTTACTGCAGTAACATCCAAGTGTGTGTGTGTGTGTGTGTGTGAACACCGGAGACTAGCTTGAAGTAGAAACTCTACTGTAGTTTCTATACTTTATTTGTTTCTGCTTTAGCTGAATGACAGTCATTGAACACGAGGTGTTGATGAAGGTCAGTCCTGAAAGATGAGAATTAAATTATGAGCTTTTTTTATCATTTCTAAATTCCTGAAAGATGAGAATTAAATGATGAGCTTTTTTTATCATTTCTAAATTCCTTCAGAGAAATGGACGTAACTCTTGAAATGGATGGTCTCTGTGGAGGTCAGTCAGTGGAAACAGTACCCACAATGCATCAGTCCAGATTATGCCAGTGTGGACCTTCGTTTCTTTATGTTCCAGGGGTGTGTGTCGTTGACCCTGCAGGCCTCGGTCTCTGGTTAGTAACACTGGTTATCAGACAACACTGTATTCACAGAACCTTCAGGGTTCTGTTATTTGCGGGCGACAGCCTCCTCGCCGTTGGGTCGCAGGCGGCTGTAGGTCAGTCCTACTCCCACTCCTTCTGAGGCCCCGCCCACAGCAGGGCAGCCGCGCGCCGTCTGCTCCTTGTTGGCAGACAAAGACTTGACTCTGGCAGATGATCCTCCAGGAGCAGGGAGCAACTCCATCACCAACCCTTTGGCCGGGGGAGGGGTGGCGGAAGGGGGGCTTGTCTTTGAGGTTTGGGGTTTGGGTGGGGAGGGCGGGGCAGTCAGGCCCAGGCTGGCTAAGGCGTCCAGAGTCCCATCAGGGTCCACCATAACATTGATCACTACAGAGGACAGAGAGACAGTGGGACAGAGAGCTTCATGTCAGACCGTTCTATAACAACCACCAAAGAAGAAGAAGAAGAAGCTTATCATCATCATCAACCAGTCTGTTTTACCTTGAAGCTGCTTCTCCACTCTCTTCAGCTCCAGCAGGATGGAGGAAATGTCCTTCATGAAGACAGAGAAGAGAAGAGTCAGAGGAAGGAGGGACACTAAAGGACAGCCCTGGACCCAAGACCACCACGAAGCTCTGAGCTGGAGACTGAAACATTCGTCTCTGTAGAAAAGCCTTTATTTTATTTAACTTTAAGTTGATCTGGTCAAAGGTCCAGAACTGTAAAACAGTTCTTCACGTGTTCCTTAAAACTTTTACACCAGTATTTCTGAACACATTTGTACATAAACATTTGGCTCCAAAAACTCATCCTGTGAAGAATTAAAAAAAAAAATCTAAACTTTTATTTATTGTTGTTTAGTTTTCTCAGTTAAGGTGAGTGGACTGATGATGTCATGACTTTTCCATGTGGACATTTTTTTCTGTGTACCTTGTTGGACGTCTTCAGCAGAGGGACGTCACTCTCCGTTTTCAGTTTTGTCTCAATTTCATCCCAGTTTCTGTCTTTGTCCTTGAACAGAATCCTACAACAAAGTCAAAGTCAAAGAACAGTTTACAACTGTTTGAACACACACACACACACACACACACGTGGGGTGGTCAATCACCTGATCTTCCCGGCAGTTTTGTCCACAGAGTGTCTGATCTTGGAGGACAGCTGTGAGGCTGAGTTCAGCAGCAGACTGTCCAACACGGCCTGGACACACGGGGACATAAACCAGTGTGAGACACGGTGTCTGACCTCAGGACATTCGTGAGTGCGTGAACATTCATCACCTCCTCTCTGTTCCAGGTCCGTCTCCTCAGAGCTCGTGGTTCCGGAGTGTCGGGAGCGTGTGGGCGGAGCTCCACTGCTTTGCCGTTGATCTCTGGCGGCTTATTGGTCGAAATGACAGGCGGGATCTTCCTGAAGTTGAGGCTCTCGTCAAACACCCGGTCGACCAGCTGAAGACAGACGGAGAGAGGTTCAATTCCCGACACGGTCACGGTACAAAAGAGCTGAAACTACTGGACTGGAGGGATGAGCGTGGAGCCAGATGGAGATGTCAGAAACCAAGAACCTGATGGAATGAGTTTTGGACCAAGCAGCAGATGTGATGGGATGAAGGTGGACCAGAAGCTCACACACCTTTCTCATGCTCTCCTGCACGTCCGGCTGCGTGGGGCGTGCGGAGCCTACCTCTTCCCGTGTGTCGATGGCCGATCCCGGGGTGGTGGCGGCCGTGCTGACCGTGGTGCTGGGCGCGGTGCCGGAGGAGCTGACCGAGTCGATCTCGCCGGCCACGTCGTGGATCTCGCGCGCCAAGATGGCCAGGTCCTTGGCCAGGTCCTGGCTGATCCTGCGCACACAGGGGAACATCCTGTTAACCAAACAGGGATTTGAACTGAGTGTCACACGGTGAGGCAACAGGCAGACGAGCACAGAAAACATCAACAACATGTTCACATCCGTACCTGGCTATCTCCTCGCTGTGGGCGGTCCAGTCCCTGATGTACTCCTCCTGCTCCTTCATGCGGTGTTTGATTCCCGTTCCGGCAGCGCTGACTCCCGCCGCGGAGCCCGGAGCGACCGCGCCGCTGAGCCTGGAGCCGCGGTGGGGGGTCAGGTGATGAGGCCGCATGTGGGACCGTCCACCGTGTTTGGGGGAGTTCCTGCTGGTGCTGAACTCCTCCTCTGAGGTGGAGCCGTACTCTGGCGGCAGACGTCTCCACCTGCTGCTGCTGGACACTGTGATGACACAAAGGTCAGCCGGTGATTCACGTTGTTAAAGGTTAAACTAAAGGTCACGAGGACGTTGTTATTGAAGACCAAAGACCTTCGTTAGAAAGAGGTCAGAGGTTAAACCTGATCTGGTTAGGGTTAAAGTTGGTGGTGAGGATCACATCGTAACAGACAACGTTAGATTTGATTTGAAGACAGCAGGCGGCAAGCAGTCAGTACAACTGTCAACCACAGTTACTACAGATAAAGCTGAGGCGGAACCCTGAGGAACTCCTCCTGCAGGAGTCAGACCTGACGCAGCTCTGGTGATTTTCCCATGGGGCCACATGGGAACATATAAATATAAATTGTGTTGAATTTGAATTTTAGCCCATCCCAGGCCTGCATTACCCAAGTCTACCATCAAGACTGAAACTGTAAAATGTTGTGGGATCAGAGCATCAGGGCCTTCATCACTGAGCTGATGATGACGAGTGAGTCCACGCTGCATCAGCTGCTCTTTAGAACTGTTCCTTAGAACTGTTCTAAATCTACACACTTCTTTGAATTTTCAAGCACCTTCAGTGTAAGATGTCCTGGTTTGGTACTAACATCTACATGAGAAGAGAATTTTAATTTTGAAAGTATGAAGTCTATGACATCAGACATCTTTTCTTCTGCCGCTCCTGTACGGAGTATTCAGAGCAGAGAATGAAGAGGACCAAAGACTGATCACTGAAGGACCCAGGTCTGACACACACGCACACACACACACACACACAGTACGGTACAGTACAGTACAGTACAGTACAGTAAACATCAGCTCTTCTCCTCCCTCATCATCCTCAGGTCCAGGCTGAGAGCCTCCTGGTCAATGAGAAGATTTGACAGGTGACAGTGAGGTGACATCACAGTGACATCACAGTCAGAATGTTCTCAGACCGATGGAATCACAGGTCGACACACACACTGACGTCCTGGTTTGTAGATGATCAGACTGATTCTGTTAAAGGTGACATCACAGGTCAAAGGTGATGGGAGTGTTGTCTCACCTGTGGGTGAACAGTAGCTGGCGCTGGGGGGCCTGGGCTTGACCTCGTTGAGTTTAGAAACACTGTTGGCTCTCATTCTGGGGGTCAGTCTATTCTCTGTGGGCGTCGGCGATCCTCGCAAACCCAGACGCAGAGCGGTTTCGGCCGACAGACGGGGAGAGGAGGCGGAGCTCCGCGCCACCGTACACTCGGAGTCGCTGCGGGCCGAGATGGAGCCCACGCGGGTCCTGCGCGGCTGAGCCAACAGGTCCAGTCGTGACAACCCTTTGCGGCCCGACGGTGGTTTAGAGGTGGAGCTGGTGGTGGAGACCTCAGAAGCTACGGAGACCCTGTCGGCATCAGCCAGGTCGGTGTCAGAGGTGTCGCCCAACCGGGCCCGGCGGAGGAGGGAGGCCCTGGTGGGCCGCGGCTGTGGCAGTGAGGCCTGTTTGTTCAGGGAGGAGGTGGTGGCCGCCTGCAGAGTACGGCTGGTTCTGGAGGAACCGCCGGTTGAGGTCTTAGCAGCCCTGTGACCCAGAGAGGCAGAGTTCTCCTGGTCTGAGGACAGGATGTCAGAGACGGGAAAAGAAGAGGTCTGGTCGTCATCCGTCAGGTCCAGGGACGGTTGTCGGACTCTGGGGGAAGCTGATGTCGGCTGAGAGGAGCGCCGGGCATCGGTCTTGCCGCTGGTCTCTGCAGGTCTGGGTCTGGTCTTCCTGTCCAGGCGTTCTCGGGCGCTGGCACTGACAACATTAGACTTTGATGTCGTGCTCATGTTGCTCTTCTCCCGGTGTAAGCTGCTGAGGGACCGTCGTTTCTGGGCACTAACACCGCCGGCTGCTTTCTTCTCAGCATCTCCGGCCATGTGACTGGCTGTGCTGGCCGTGTCCAGGTCTGACTCCGGGGACATGGAGTTGTTCGGCAGTTTGAAGGGAGAGGCCGAGTCTGGATTGGTGCCCCCGGCGTCGTTCTGGTCTCTCAGCTTGGCCTCCAGGAAGGCCATGACGGCCTCGGTGTCCTTCAGGAGCGTGGCCGTGTCCATGCTGCCCACGGAGTCGCTGCGTTCACGGCCACCGCTGCCTTTGTTGATGCGTGGAATCAGCTCCGCAGGAACACTGGTGCTGGGCTTCTCCACCGTGAAGCTGCCCTGTCGCACCAGAGGCTTGGCACACTTATCTCCTCCTTCTTCACCCCTGCCTCCCCCCTTCCTCTCCACTGACCTCTTTCTCCTCTCCCCTGAGCTGCTCTTGGCAGGAGGCCTGGATGGAGAGGAGGTGGAGCCTGGTTTTGGCGTGCCGCTCATTGCAGTGTCCCCCACAGGAGTTGGAGACCCCCCGTCCCCCTTGTTCTCTTTTTCCTGGGGCTCAGTGTCTTGTTTCTCCCCAATCTCAGACCTGAAAGGTGGGACGCTGGCTTTAGCTCGAGGGTCTTCCACGGGGAGCTGGGGGAGGGTCCTGCGCTTGCGGTCGGTCAGGCTGGAGCAGGACTGACCTCGGCTGAGTGACGCTCCATCAACTCCTGAAGAG